GCTCTCAAACTCCCTGCCAGCCTGCCTTTAACTCCTGCCCGTGTGGGCTCCTGCCAGCGGGTCCCCCAAATCCAGGAGCCACCTAAATGTCCTTTAAGGAGCAGCTCTGTCCCACTGCCAAAAGCCTCCGCACCTTGACCACTGGCAAAGCCAGGCAGAGTCGTGGGTGCTGCCCACTCCCCGCCTTGGGAAGGGAAGGGGGGAAATCCTTGAGCAACTCCAGTTAATCAAAACCTTCTGCTTTTAGGATCATAGCCGCAGTGCAAAGCGGCGATATCAGAAAACCACACTGCCCCGTCATTATACCGATCCCTGCGCGTTTTGACAGACTAGTGAATCAAAGTTTACTGCGTAATAAAAACGTCATTAAGCAAGAACTTTCCTCTCGCTAGGTTTTCGTTCCCCTAGTTAACTTTAATAACATGGTACTCCCCTTTACTGTCTCTCCTTGCAGACACAGTCCTGCCTTCTCCCGCTTGGAAACTCTCCGTGCAGCACTGCGACGCCGGAGCAGAGCAGACGACTGTGGCGTCTCACCATCCCAGCGCTGTTTTCTCTTACCTCCCTGAGCAGAAACGACGTGGGGTTTCACGTCACGCACAAAAAAGCTGGGGCTGGACAGCAAGGGCAGGCTGATCTCCCGGCTGGTGGGTGCTGGGAGCAGAGGTCACCATCCCCACCTGCCCGAGCACCCCGGGGTGTTAGGGCTGACTTTCTGCAGGACTTGCATCTTTCTTGTTTAACTGCCTGAACCAGCTGGCTGTGGGCTCGGACTGGTACCAGGGAAGATCGTGGCTGGGGTGGCTGAGTCCTTATGGTGAGGAGGATGGTGCCCATGTCTCCGAACCTCCCCCAAGCCTGGTGCCCATGGCCTCCTCCGCCCCTGCCCAGCAGTGCTGGCAGCAGGCTCTGCCACCGCCTCCTCCAGCCTCTGAGGTTACCTCTGGAGTTTCACAGTTGCTACGAGTTGGAAACCCCCACCGCGCCGGTCCCTGGAAATGCCAAACAGAGCCAGTTCGAAGCATTAAAGCGTCTGCTTCCTGGCAAAGGGGAATTTGGCTTCTCTGTAGAAGTCTGGTGTTGCAATCTCAGTTTCCCAGGTTGTAACGGAGGGGAAAACATCAGCCATCGGGCTTTACACCAGCAAATCTCCCTGCCTCGTCCTGGCCCCTGGGCTGGAATAACGCTACGTGCTCCCACGCTTCATCCTTCCTCGGCACAGGCGTTGGCAGCTGCTTTTAAGACTCCTCAAGCGCACCTCCAGCATCCAGCGCAGAACAGCAAGAGGCACTTCTTAACAACCAGATGCGATCTCCAAAACAAAGCGGCGCTCGGAAAAGATCCCTCCAACGACCCTCCCCTGCTCCGCACCTGCTCGCCCCGTTACCTGGCCTCAGGCCAGTTCGCTTGATTAAAGTCTATCTATTAAGTTTCGCATCTATAGAGAGCCCCGCTCAGCAACACGCACGATTGGCACCGGCTTGTGAAGAGGGTTGGAACAGCTTAAAGGAGAGTGAGCCAAACGCTTTGGGATATTCCCAGGAAAAGTAATCCAAGTCCACAGCTCCCATCGGCACCTGGGCAGCCGGCACTCCACAACGCGTAAGCACCATCCCGGCGGCAGGTGCATTTTCCAAGCAGAGCCGAACCCCCTCACACGCCTGTTTGCATTCGCCATCCCCGAATGGCACTCATTTCCATTTTAATTTCCCATTTACAATCCTCACCAGGCCAGGAGAGTCGGCAGCGACGCAAGCGGGACGCACGGGCTGGGGACGCGAGCTCAACAGCCCGTCAATAGGACGTGACTTTGGCAAAAAAAAAAAATTAAAGCAGCGAAAAGAGGTGGTGCAGGAGCAGCACGAGGAGGGGAAGTGGCAAGAAGGGCTGTGCTACACTCAGCACTTTTTAAAAACGGTCTCAGCAAAGGCTCTGGATCTGTGCCAGGGTGTAAAGTCACCCCACGCTGCTCGCAGCCCCAGCTCTCGCGAGCTCCCCGACACGTGGCTGCGGGGTGCCGGGGTTCACCATCCTTTCCCGAAATCCCAGAGCTGCGAATGCAGGCAGACGCTCTCAGTGTGTCTGGAACAGAACGCACCGATAGCGCAAACCTCCGGAGAGTGGCACGAAGCTGCACCTCGTGCTACAGACACCAGTAGCTGCAAGAAGAAACAGGCAAAGCGCCTTTCCCATTTCCTACAGCCCGCTCCTGCCCCACGGGACACGCATGGGCTCTGGCCACAACCCAGACATCTCCGGTGTTGGCACAGCCCCCGGGGCTGGAGAGGCCGAGCATGCCCCTCGCACCACTGCCTGCCTCCCCAGATTCTCCACTGAGGATCGCTGGGAACAAACCAGCAGCGGGACGAGCACAAGACTCAGCACCCTGCACCGACTCCAACGATCAGACACCATCCGACCCCGGGCACTGGGTTAGCTCCAGCAGAGCCCACAGGAGACAGAAAATGAGCAGCTCACCTTTTTTAGCCGTCTCCATCTCCTCTTCGGTCCAGCGAGAGCTTTCATTCATCTCCAGAGAAGCTGGGAAGGAGGAAGGAAAGGAGAGCAGTGAGCTGCGAGCGGGAACCTGCGAGCCCAGTGAGCTCGGAGCAGATGCCCCAATGCCCAAACCCCGTCCCGCAGTCTGTTCCCCGGAGGCACAACAAACTGCCGTGCAGTGCAAAAGTGCCGCTGCAGGGAAGACTGTCGCGGTGCTGGATCTCAAGGTTTTCCCACACCACGGTACGCCATGCACAGCATCCCCCTGGGATGCGTCTCGGTGATGCAAAACCTCTACTTTGGGACTGGAAGCAACGCCAGATGGCTTGAGGGTGGCAGCAGATTTCCTGCTGGTGCAGTGCCACGCACTCTGGCCCGCCAACAACAGGTACCTAAGATGGAGCCGACTTTGGCTGTGTGCTTTGGAGGTGGCAGACGCAGGGTGGGACCGACACCCTCGGCGGAGATGGAGAAACACCGTCACCTCGGCAGGGACTGTGGCTGACCACATCGGTCAAGGGAGTTGGCTGTGCTTGACCACGGGCTCTCTCCGTGCCATCACTGGGCTCTCGGACATCTCAGAGCCACTTCCAGCAATGCTGGGGGCTCGCCTGGAACAGCACCCATCACAGGGGGACGTGCTGCTCCGGCTGGGAGAGGCGGAGAGGGGTGTTAGCACCTGATGCTCCCCCTCTCCCCCACCCCAGGTGCGGTGCTGGGGACACCAAGGTCCTGCATAAAGCCTTCACTATGCAACAGTCCCGCTGGCAGCCTGGCACTAGAGCAAACCCTACAATAACAAACCAGGGTGTGAGTCAGAGGCAAAAAACAACTCAGTAAGGAAGCAGATTTCCGGCTCAGGCTGCCAAGGGGTTATTACTCTAAACAACAGGCAAAGCATTATTTCAACAGTGATGAGAGATGTTTTGACAGTGTCCTTTTAAAATGGAAAACAGACCGATAGGTTCAGGATAAAGGATACGGGAGAGGAGAGAAGGAAGCATCTTCCGAGAAGCTCTACAAGCAGCCAAGACCCTGCAAGAGGACACTGCAGGCTCCGATGCCCATGGCACCGGGCAGAGGAACCTCCTTCACAGCCAGCTGAGCTCGACCACAGGTGTCACCTCCTGGGAGCGAGCGTGGGTCACCGCCTCCCCCAGAAACGCCGTCCCCGCTGGGATGCCGGCCAAGTGGGAGGGAAATCGATACCTCGCCGCTTCCTCCGGCCACGGACAGAGCGGGGCCACGACACTCGTTTAGGTAAGAGTGAGCGTCCCCAACGCGCTGTGCGAGGCCCTGCGCTCAGCCTGAGGACGACTGTTACTGTATGGTAAAAGAACGTCGAAGGAACGGCCCGTTTGGTTTGATTAATGGTATTTACTGAGGTTGCACAGTTATGAAACAGATGCCTACGGGGAGCTCCGGCACGCTGCAGTTAAACCACAATACGGTTTTGTGTTGTTTTTTAATGTTCAATTGGTATTTAAAATGCAATAACTTTCTTAGCCAACCTAAATTAAAGCACTATTGGAGAGACATAAAGTGAAACCAATTGCTCAGATATGTCACTGGAATCAATTCACTCCCTTTTCCCAATTTAACACGGTCTACAGTCTTTCTCCGTGTTCGCAGTGAAGTTTATTGAGAACTCTGAGATGCTGGGATTAAAAAAAAAATTCCCATCTAAGTTACTGGCATTATCTGCTGCTTCTTTGCAGCGTTACTTAACAAGTTCGAGAGGGAGAGCGGGGCTCCGTTGTACCAGGAACTATTTATATCGCCTGTATGAAAACAGAGCGCTCGCAATCAAGGCTTCAGCCAGTTGTCAGCAGAGGAACAGGGAGGCGAAACACCTCCGGGTGATTTATAGCACACGGAACAGAACAAGCAAGAAACTGCAGAGCAAGGAAACCGAGAGGACTCACCCTGCTTTTATTTCTACTCGCCTTAGGGAGCGCAGTAATAATTTTGTACTTGATACAGTACAAAACAGAGGAAAATCAGCCACGTTCCTCCGTGTGTTGGCTCCTTCAAGTCAACACACGAGCAGTTTCCAAGGGTGACCACTACTGATGCTCCCGACGTGGGGCTGCGGGTGCTGCCGTGAATTCCCATCTAGCCCGAGACAGGCGCAGGGGCGTCCTGCGGTTCCGGCTGACCGCCACACGTGGCTGTGATCCCTGGATGCTGTGTTTTGGGTGGCACACTTTGCCTCCTCCACTTCACTCTGAAGCCACTCCCGGCCACAGCCTTGCGCAGGCAGGACGGGAAGGACAACACTGACCACTGCGCCTGGCTGACTACGGATGGAGGGGGTGAGCTGGACCACTGAGGACCAGCATGGGAAACTCTGCTTTTTGGACAAAACAAGCCCAACTGGGGTGCACAGCACGACTGCAGCCGGGGTGAAGGCTCCTGAGCAGCCGTAACCCGCTGCCACCTCGCCACATCCTTCAGCTGTAGAGACGAGGAAGGGACCAGCCCCGTTCCCAAGGCCAGGGGGGTGACAGACCCCACAGGCTGCAGCTGCTCGGGCTCCGGGCAAATTTGAAAACAGACAGGGCAGAAGAACCGGTGGAGACCCTGGCAAGCCCAGGAGGGCAGAGCAGACTACTGCGCAGAACTCGAGGGTACTCGGAGCCCAAGATGCCACAGAGGAAACATCTCAGGGTGCAGGAGGTGCACGAGCCCTGCATGAACACAGTCATTGTGCTGCTAAAAATGACCGCTTCCCTTTTTGTCTTTTGCAATACTTTCCCTCTGTGGCTGTAAAACCCACTAACACTCAGCCAGGACAACCCAGGTTTGCAAAAGCCTCTGCTTTATCTGGGTGAACCGTGCTGAGTAACTCATGGGATAGAGAAATCTCATTGCTGTCCCCTGAAAAGGAGGATTTCACTAAGGAAAACCCTCCTCTGTGAGCGGGGACGGAGCAGGGTGATGTCCCATCCCACCCCAAAAGCCCTGCCAAGGTCTCGCCGCGTGCCGCTACCCACCCAGCTCCGCGCTCTGCTGCGGGGCGGCCGCCTCCTCGTTGTTGGCTTCGTTGGCCATGGAGCGGGTGATGCGGCCTTTGCGCCTGCCCTGGCTGTTGGCGGTTTTACGACCTTTGGAGGTGACAGCTTCTTTCTCGTCATTGTCTTCCCCGGACGTGTCGTCGTTCTTGTCTCTGCAAAAACAGGGAGAGAATTAAAAACGTTGTTGGGTTGGTCTGGTTTTTAGGTCAAGCAATTATTTCTCTGCACGTGTTTGGGGATGGGCGCTTTTTTTTTGTTGTTGGTCTTTTGTGGGGGCAGGTCTGTGGGGTTTTTTTGCACACGCAGGCTCTCTTCCCGGCTGGAAGCAGGCGGGATTGGCGGCGAGGTGATTTGCGGTGGGGTTTTCTTTCTGCAGCTGGCTGCAGCTCCACCACCAAGTGCACGCAGAGACCTGACGGAGACAGGTTTAATACCAGACCATTCAAATCCATCCCTGCCTCCTCCTCATTTATCTTCCTGAAAGGGACCTGCTGGTAAATGTCTTAGCAGCCTAGATATAATGAAGCCAGATGTTCTTTTAAACCCAGTATAAGCCCATTACAGATAGCTAGTGGTCTGCGTGCCAGCCTTTCCCTGTCACGGCTCCGATGCTCCTGGTTCGGCACGAGGGAGGCAGGGCTGGCTGAAGCCCTTCATCTGGGAGCGCTCATGTTGACATCGATAACGCTAACAGGGAAGTGCCACGCTCGCCTGTGCCCGCATCGCTCCTCTGACTCCCAGAGGCTCTTGCAACAAAACAAGCTGGAGGATCAGAGGGGCTTTGTGGGTCGATTTGGTTTATATTTTTAAAAAAAGCACGTATCAGAGTTGCTTTCCCAGTTTGGGAGCAGAAAGGAAGAGGAACGAAGGGGAGAGCAGGCTCTGCCCTTCCCTCCATGTGGAAGGATGGGTGCTCACGGTCCTGCACGGAGTCAGCCAGCCCTGGACCACACCACGTCCCAACAGTGCATCCCAGTGCTGCATCCCAGTGTGGCATCCCACTGCCAGATCCCCGGCCCTTGCTGAAGACGGAAGAGCAAAGAGCAGGGAGGGCTGATCCTTACTTTGTCAGTTCTTCTTTGTCATTTTCTGTTTCCTGCTTGTCTTCTTCCTTCTCTCCCTCTTTCTCCTTTTCTTTCTCTTTCTCATCTTTCTCTTCTTGGCTGCTCCGGGGCATTTGCTGCTGCTGCTGCAAAACAAGGGATGTAAAATAAATAAAAAACCCGTGAGGGCTGAGGTGGATGCGTCGCAGCACCTGGGCCAACCTAAACAAATGCGGCGAAATGAGCAGCCAAGAGGAAAACACGCTGCAGGCAGAGGGTACAGGCAGGGGCTTACGGAGGCCACGGGGGCTGAAAGCTTTCCAGGGAGATCGGAGGTAGTTTGGGATCAGGCAGGCAGGTGAGAACTACCCCCCTGGACCCCCTAGATGATGGCTTAGTAACATCAGCCATGACTTGCAGCTGATGGGCTGCATTTTGCTGGAGCATGGAGGAGCCGGGGGCACCGGAGATGCCCCGAGGCTCAGCGATACCAACACTGTGAACTTTTTCCCAAGCATCTGACACAGCCTACGGGGAAAGTTAACTGCCCCATGTCACCGAGGAGGGAAGATGCCCGGCTCCCTGCCCGCTCGGCACCGCCTGGCACCCTCGGCGGAGGTTGTGTACCCAACTGCTGCAACGCCACGGCCGTCGCTCGGCCTGACGGCACTGCGGTAGCTGAGGGAGGGACCCAGTGATTATAACAGTCCTGGATTTTGTTTCAACAGCTGCAGGAAGAAGGATGCTGGGGAGGCCTGGTTCTCCTGACCTCCCTTCCCTCTGGTGACCAGCAAATGAGAGGCATTTCATGGAGAAGTAGAAATTGGAAGAGGAAATGATTTATTAAACCTTCCTGCCCCTGGCTAATACAGGGCTGCCCACTCCAGGAAACCCACCCAGACTCACCCAGCCCCTGTCCAAGCTGCAGGGCTTCCACCAGCCCTTGAGAAAGGGTTCGGTGACGTAACGGAGTGGAGAAAATTGCCTTAAAGCAGGTTTATCAACAAAAAGTATGGTCCCAAGGAGCTTGGTCTGGCCAGTACGCAGCTGTTCAGCCCATGTCCCTTGAGCCAGGGGACTGGCCTGTCCCCACTCGGCAGGAGCTGGGAGACTGCCTTGAACATGGGCGTTCCTGCAGCAGCAGCACTGGGTGGGAGCTAAACCCTCTGCCCCATGGGCTGGTGCTGAAGTGAGAAGCTGTGAAAACGGCCTTCAGAGCAGTTTAACAAAAAAGCTTCTCATTCTTTCAGGTCCTGGTTCAGTACAAGTCCTTAAATACAGGTGCTGCCATCACCAAATCCCCGCAGACTTTCAATTCCGCCTTGTGCCGGGATGCAGGTGGCTGTCCCACCAGGACCTCCACTCCGCAGCACACACACGGCAGGCTTGGCTGGCACCTCAGTGCTGGCACACATGCCGAACACATCCGTACCACATCAGCTCCCATCCTCATCGAACCCCCAGGAATGGCTCCATGAGATGGTGAGGCGGGGAGATCCAGAGAAGGAACAGCTGGGGAATAGTTGGGGTGAGCACTTGGTCACTTAAGATCTTTGTTTTTTAAATATTTTTTTTTTTTGCATTCATACATCTCAAACACTTGGGGAACGGGCCATCTCCTGCAGCAACAGGCCAAGCAGCAGTGCCAGGCACTGTCCCCACCAGTCCCAAACCCGCAGAGAAGCAGGGGCAGCCCACAAGTCTGCCAGCACCGGGAGACGGGCAAACCCATGCCGGGGCAGAGGAGCAAGGGGCATCTGTCACACATTTCCCCAGCGCCACCCTGAACTCTCTGACTCCCTCTGAGTCACGCTGCGGTGAGCCCCGAGCATGGGTTCAGCCCAGATGAACACCCACGAGGTCAGGGCTGGGAGCTCCAACGGCTGGGAGCTCCAAGGGCTGGGCGGGCAGCAGGGCAGGCTCTGCCCCAGCCCTGGCTGTCACCACCCACCTGTGTTCCCTTCACCAAGTTCTTTGGCAAAGAAGAGGAGCCCACACGAGATTCATGTTCTTTCTACCACCCTGTTGTGAATGTTTTCTTTTGAGGGATGGGGGAAACGCTGCATCCTGGCGATCCCAGCTCCCCAGAATGTAAAACCCAGCTCTCCTCCAGCTGTAAACCCAGCTGCGACCGCACGAGTCCCTGTCCCAGCACTGGACTGGCGCAGGCTCCCAAGGCAACCTTTAGCATCATCTCATCTTGTCTCTGTGCTTGTTCGAAGCAGGGGGCTGTCACCCCGAGCAGCCATCGCAGCTCTTCCCCAGAGGAACAGGCTGGGATGGTGGCGATGCCGGAGCTCCACACACCAGCCTGCAAAAGCAGGTTTGGAAAGGCAGGGAGAGGCTCGAGTGGCTGCGGAGACTCATGCTGCAACGCAGGTGCTTCCCCAGAGAGGTACCCACCCAGCTCCGGCATGCCAAGGCCAGGCAAACCCATCCAGCCTGGCTTCAGTGGGCACCTGCGCATCTCTCTCCTCCAGAAGGTGTCAAGCTCAGCCTGGTGGGACATCAAATTAGGACTTCTACCACCGCAGAGGAGCATCTCGATCCAAGGATGCCCTCTAGTGATTGCCCTGCTCTGGCCACGGCTGGGACAGGAGTAAGAGCGGGGTGGGCACAGCACCCTGCACACAGCGGGACGGGATGGGACGGGATGGAATGGCTGTCACCTGCCAGCCCTCTCCTGCCAGGCTGAAATACATAAATCGGGCAGCACCATCACCATGAGGTCACGGTGGGGAAAAGTGTCCCCCGCTCCATCCATGGCTGCATTCACATCCTCGTCTGAAGAAGACTCCTGGCCGAGCGGGGTGGGCACAGCACCCTGCACACAGCGGGACGGGATGGGACGGGATGGAATGGCTGTCACCTGCCAGCCCTCTCCTGCCAGGCTGAAATACATAAATCGGGCAGCACCATCACCATGAGGTCACGGTGGGGAAAAGTGTCCCCCGCTCCATCCATGGCTGCATTCACATCCTCGTCTGAAGAAGACTCCTGGCCAAAGGCTGCTGTGAACCCTGGCAAGCTGCAGTGACACCTCATCTCCTGTGCCGGCCCTCAGCCGCACGGTGGGGCACCCCCAAACACCCCGAAAAGCACTTGTGGGGACGGCCACACTGACGAATGCCACCTTACATCCCACCTGGGGGGATGTGCTCAGCTGGAGGCCACAGGGATGCCGAAGCACATGGCGCTCTAGGGGGGAGAGGGGACCCCGGGGTCCCAAACGAAGCTGGGTGAGAGCTCAGCTGCAAGCGGCACATGGGGAAATGAGGGGGGACCGACCACGGGGACCGACCATGGCAGCTGCCTCAGCCCATCGTGCACTACATGCTCTACCCCAAACCTCAGATCATCCAGCATCAGAGCCAGACCATGGCACGGCACAGTGCCGGGAACCCACAAACCAGGAACCCACGAGCCGGCCGGTCCTCCCACCCCAGCCCCGGCATGCGGCTGCCCCTGCGGGGGACAGGGGGCCTCTGAGCCTATTCTTAGTGCTGGACATGGACCAGCTCTGGATGATTCAAGGGACGGGACGCCATCCCAAAGCGTGACAGGCCAGGAAATGCTTCCCCAGTTACCAGCCGACGTTCCCCTCTGATTCACGCTGCCCCGGTTAGAGGTGGACCAGCAGGTGGGTCGGCTCTTAGTGGACACGCCAAAGGCCAGCACCAAAACTGCTCAGCTCCCGGCAAACTCTAACCTCTCTCCACCTACATCCCTACCCCTCCCGGGGATGAGGCACCCACCCCCCGGAGGCGAAGCAGGTACGTGCTCCCGACCTTGTGCAAGAAGGTGAAGGGATGTGCCGGAGGCCAGGGAAGATGCCTGTGGCAGAGGGCAGGGCTGTCCCTCCCTCTCAGGTTGGACGCTCTAACTGCCAGACTGCCCTTCCTCCTCACCATCGCTGCTCCTTGTTTTTGCTGCCAACACATCCTGTTTATTTAAAAAGGCCCCGGGACAAATCGCACGAGGGGACGCGTGAGCGTGAGCGAGACCGATCCTGCTCCGAGCCCACAGAGATGGGCGGCCTCCTTCCCCGCACGCTCCCCGTGCTCTGGCATGAGCTACTCTGTAATTACAAACATCTGCTCACCTCTACT